GTTAAGGGACATTGTTGGCCTTCAAAGGACTGAAACACCACCGAGGGGGATAAATATCTCCAGCTCAACACCAGTCAGTCAGAACTGATGAAGCCTCTTGGATGAGAGGTGAAACGTCTTTGATCTAGAAATCTAAGTCCAGTTGTTTTTTCTAAGGTTATTTCATTTTGATCCAGTGTGTGCCTCTGTGTGTTTATGCACATTCTCGTGCGTGTTCGCGTGTTAGAATGTGATACAGACTAAATTCATTCAGACATCATCCCAATTTAAGTAATCATTTAATATTACAATTATTCTGAACAGAGTAGTAGTTAAACAGGTAATCTGGTAGTTAGGGAACAGAGAACAGAATCACTCCTTCTGCAGTGGAATAGATAAAGTATTAAATAAGAAGATTGTCAGAGCACCAGTCAGTCCAGAGTCAGTCTGTCAGCCCACAGTCAGTTAGCGTCCCCCCAGCCGGGTCTAAGCTCACTCAAGGCTGCCGCACCATCCTTAATTCTTCTTCTCTCCCGTAACCCAGCTATCCTAGCCTTTTATCTGCTCGCAGTTACACAGCCTTTTATGGCCTGAGCACACATTTCCTTTTTCTAAACATGAACAGAGCACACAAACCGTTCATATATATATATATATATAATGTATAGATAATGTATGTATAAATGCATATGGATGCTGAGTGCTGAAAGTTTGCCCTGAGAATACTGAACATTTTGACACCTGAATGGTTTTGCTAGCTGAAAGTATGCTGAAGTAGAATTTTCCCTTTCATTTTAATGGTGTAACATTTTCAGAATAAAGCTGAATATTTTTAAAAAATATTAAATTTTGAAAAATTTTGAATAGAAGCATGAATGTCCTTAAGGAGCTGAACATTTTGATAGCTGAAAGTATGCTGAAGTAGAATTTTCCAATTCTTGTGAATGGGGCAACATTTTCAAAATAAAGCTAAATATTACAAAAGTATGAAGTTTAGAACAATTCTAAATAGTAGCATGAATGTCCTTGAAGAGCTGAACATGTTGATACTTGAAATTGCTGAAAGTATGCTGAAGTAGAATTTTCCCATTCATTTGAATGGGGCAAGCTTTTCAAAATAAAACTTAATATTTCAAAAGTATGAAGTTTAGAAAAATTCTGCATAGAAGCATGAATGTCCTTGAGGAGCTGAACATTTTGATATGGTCTTGAAATGTTCTTATACTTGTATAGTGCTTTTTTTACCCTTTACAGCACACTCAAAGCACTTTTACACTACTCAGCCATTCATCCATTCGCACTCCCAAACACTCACACATTCACACACTAGTGACATCACCGGGAGCAACTGGGGGTTCAGTGTCTTGCTCAAGGACACTTCGACATGTTGCCTGTACAAGCCGGGAATCGAACCACTAATCCTCCGGTTAGGAAACGACCCGCTC